TCTTGGGCACGCACGCACACGCGCCCAGCGTGAGTAAGCAACCGGGTCTGGACTTGAACCGTGGTCGACTACATGAGAGTCCAGCGACATAGCCATTACGCTAACTGCTGGTCCCCTACTTGGTTCTGATCAATTGGTCCTAGATGGGAAACTGTTGCCAGATCTTCCTACTTTGCCAGAGAAATTGGAGATGCAAATTTTTGTGAGCGGTGGTACAGCATGCTGGTTAGGAGGCACACCGCATGGTTTTGACCCTGGTACTGCAAGTCAGTAGCTATTAGACTTTGGGAAGTTACTTAACCTCTTTGCTCATTGGTTTGCCTCTCTGTAGAGAGAGGATAATAATAATATCTATCCTATCATGCTATTGTGAGGATTAAATGAATTGAACATACACGAAACTATGAGAACGTACTTGTCTTACAAGAAGTCACCTACACATATTTGTTATTATAAAATACACGTATTTCATCAAAGTTAAAATATTTCATTACTTAATATAACAAAATAAAAAGCCTCAGAATTTTAAATGCTGACAACTCAATTAATTAAAAAAGAAAAACACCACTCTATTCGGGAAAAAAAAAGTGAATACAAGCTTTATACAATCTGTAGGTTGCCAGTTTGTAATACCTGGTCTAAAGGATTTATAACATAATTTTGGAACTGTGTTAGTATGAGATGTTGTGGGAAGATTATTATCCAAAAAATCAGAATATGTGGAATTTAAATTTCTAATTTTATTTTAATTTAGGATTTACCAATTCATTGTGGGTGAACTTTCTCATAGTATTTTGTTTTGTTCTGTTTAATTCCAAAAATACCAAAGTAGTGAAAGAATATATATGACGAACACTCAAATACACTCTACCTAGATTTAACAGTTGCTAACATTTTGTGTCCTCCCTCTTTCACTTTTCTCTTCTCTCTCTCAAAAACCACCTCCACCTCCCCACACATACATACAAATTTTTGTCTGAAACATTTAAAAATAAGTTGTTGATAATACTTCATTCCTAATACTTCTGCATATATTTCCTAGCAATAAGGATCTTTTACTTAGTAGTTACAAATAATAGTATCTCACCTAAGAAAACGAAACATGATTTTCCTTTTTTTGAGAGAGAGAGATTTTTGCTATAGGGCATGTACGCTCACCAGAGAGACAGAAATCACCCTTTTAAGTTTGGTTTGGGAATGGCGGTGGAGTTAGAGGTAGCAAGGATGAAAATACTAGAGTTAGGTCTTGGGGTTTAATAAAACCAATGTAATTTATTCTGCAAAAAGCTCTCAGGTAAGGTCCCTCGGCCTGGTCAGAGGCCAAGGGAGTCACACTCAGGGTGGGTACTGCTCATGTTTAAAGGGTCGTTGTCCAATAGGTGGTCCTCGTCAGGCCAATGAAGGTCACTGTTTCTGTTCGACTTTGGTGGGCGCGCCAAATGCTGAAGGGTGGGAAAGTCCGTTGGTGATGGCACACCAGATGCAGAAAACAGGAAAGTTCTGCCAGAGAGAATGTTTTTGCCATGTTTCTTTTCCCTTCCCCCAGACCTTACACATTCCTCAGGGGTGATGGCCACACCACAATCCCTTCTCTTTCATTCTCCTCTTAGGATCTTAGCATCCATGCACACGTGCACAATGTGAATCCCGGGTCTGAGACTCAAACTGTGGTGGACCATGTGGGAGTCCAGCGATATAACCATTGTGCCATCTGCCGATCCCTAAAAGTAATTTTCTAATATCATGTAACATGTCTATATTGAAAATTTCCCAGTTGTCCCCCAAAATGTAGTTATTGTGTTCATTTTAAATTTTGACAGGACCCTTTACTTTATTAATATACATACACATTTTGATAGAGAGCATATGTGCATGAGAGAGAGAGTGACAGGGTAGAGAGGTAGAGGAGAGGGA